TACCAGAGACAGTGTGGGAGGAGAGTGGGAGATGGCAGAGGGTAAGAGATAGGGAATCAAAGATGGGGGGGGAAGCAAAACATACAGGAAACAAGAAATGGAAAATTATTTGTTGACAATAACATGTATGTTGATGTGCTTGATTGAGACAATATACAGTGTACTCTGGATGGAAAATCTCATTTTGTATGTTGTAATGATGTACAGTGAATGAACATAAACAAATAAATTTAAAAAAAGAAAAAGAAGAAAAAAATAATAAAATATTAATAAGGTGATAAAACAAGAAAGTATTCTGAGATCAAATGGTTTCAAAACCCATTATACTGTGTGAGATATTATAATAGAGAATGCTAAAACTATGAGAAGTGCTTATCTTAAAATATTAAAAACATGCCCACCTGCAGTGTAAGCAGGAGCTAAAGGGAAGGTCAGTGTTCAGCGGCCAGGTCTCTGGCTGAGAAGGCTGTGCAGAGAGTCACATACAAGAGCCAGTTAAGGGTTCTTGTCCTTCCCTCTCTCTGCTTCTCTCTTTAACTCACTTCATCTCATGAAAGAAAGAAATTAACATAAAAATTTATATTAGAAGCCAGGTTACTGGTTGAACACACTTCTTTACTTCTCCATGTCTGCCTGACTGAAATAACAAAATAAATGGGGACCAGCAGTTGGCATAACGGCTGTGTCACTAGACTCCCATGTAGTCCACCATGGTTCAAGTCCTGGACCTGGTGGCTTAAACTCATGCTTGGGACATGTGCATGTGTGCCCAAGATCCCGAGAGGAGAATGGAGGAGAAGGGATTGCAGTGTGGCCATCCCCCCTGGGGGGGGGTGATTTCTCACTTTCTGTCTCTCTGTCTCTCTTTGTCTGTCTGGTGAGCGCACACACCCTATAGCAAAAACTCTCAAAAAATAATAAAAAATATAAATCATACATACATTAAAAACATTATCAAAATGTTTCACAACAAAGTACTTTATTATAAAAATACAGATCACCAGAAATCCATTTCTGTTAAGTAAACATCATGTGTGATTGTCCTCTTCTGAGAGTAAGGCACAACAACCAATCTTGTAGAAGTTGTGAAGGAGAGACTTCTGTTTTCATACCTCGATCCTCAGGTGGTCTGAAATCCTGCTGGTTCAGAACAGAGAGCAGTCAAATGATCAAATCAAGTTTAACATAAAGACTATTTAATAGATTTTATAAAGCATACTGAAGTTAAGGGGAAAAAACACAGCAGGGGAAGAGTACTCCCTGCTTCGTATCACCTTCTGCTAGTCCTGACCTTGAGTAGGGCTATGTCTACCCTTTCACACAGGGTCAGGGATTGACATGGATAAGAAAGGAGAAATTTCGTCAGTTATGGCACCTCCCATGAGAGCAAAGAAATACTGTGAATTTGTTGTTTTACAACAATATGATTTTTTAAAACACTTTATTTGTCCATTTTTTCTGAGAGCATCCAAGAGAGAAAGGCAACCCCAGCAGGGTTGGAACACCATGATTCATCCCAGCCCCAGCCTGCCTAGATCATAAACGTGCTCGCCGGATAGGGACCAGCAGTGAGCGTAATGGCTATGTCGCTGGATTCCCATGTAGTCGACCACGGTTCGCATCCCGGACCCGGTGGCTTAAAACTCACGCTGGGCACGTGTGCGTGCGTGCCCAAGATCCCAAGAGGAGAATGGAAGAGAAGGGATTGTGGCATGGCCATTCCCCCTGGGGGGGGGGGGTGATTTCTCACTTTCTGTCTCTTTGTCTCTCTCTGTCTGGCGAGTGCACGTGCCCTATGGAAAAAGAAAAAAAAAAAACTCTCCAAAAAAAACGTGCTGGGAGATCTTCAGGACCTGAGCCCAGGACTCTGCCACTGTGGGTTCAGTTGCACCACTGCTGTGCTCTGCTTACCCCTATGATCATTTAATTTTTATCCAATGTTCGGAAAATATAATTTGGATGGATAGATTAGGTCTTTGGGAAAGTCATGACATGTTTTCCTATGCAAAAATACAATGATGTATGGAAAGTATTGTATCAGAATTTTCTATAGAAACACATTTTAGCTTAAGAAAGATTTCCGAAACGGTTGACACATTTTCTGCCTTCAAATATGAATATTTCTTCATATAAAATAATTATGATTAATCATAAAATGAAGTTTAAGAGTACAAAAAAATGGATATCAGTTGAAGTTAGGAGTTACATTTATCAATGCAATTCAAGCGAGGGTAAAATGCAGCTCTAGGTCTAGCTGTTGGCTGAGTGAGTTGCAGCGCCCTTGGCCAGCCGTGAAGTTTGTATTGTAGCCCTGGGCTTGAGAAACACACCGGTCATAATTGCGCGTGTGCCTAAGACCCTAAAAGGAGGGACAGAGAGAGAAGGGATGACAGAATAACCATACTTCATGGAGGGATGGTTTTTCGTTTTTTTCTCTCCCTTTATCTCTTTTTAGTGAACACACATACCATCCGGCAAAATTTAAAACAAAAGAAAATGTAGATGATAGTTAATAAAAATAAAAAAATTGGACAGGCAAGAGAATGGAAGGAGATTTGGATAACAATAAGTAAAATAAAAAATGTATATGATAATAATGAATTTTATGTCCACTTAAATGAAAGGAGCATGAAAATACATATTGCAAACTAGCCAATTGAAGAGAGAAATTTTCTGGGCGGAAATCTTTGCACTCATAGGTAAAGTTTTAATTTTTAAAAGACATAGGCCTAGTTATGGTAGGTATCTGAGAGGTGGCCTCTGATTCTGGCTGGCCGAGAAGACTGGAGGAAGGATCACAACTGAGACCCTACTGTGGGAGTGTTTGTCTTCTCTTTCTCTCTCCAACAAACCTCTATTTTTTTAAAGGTTTAAAATAATCTTCTTCTGGAAAATAAATGCAACTTTAAGTTTTTATGAAGTGAACTGGATTGGAGAACCTAACTTTGTTTTAAAAATGATTGAGAAATAAACATCCACAGTCCAAATGAAAAGTAATGAAAATAAACTACAGGAAACCTAGTTAATCCTACTTAGTCCAAGGCCGGTTACTAATAGGATGACACTACAGTCAGAATTAACCCATGTTTCTTTTACCATTTCCACTTGGTCTTCTCTTTCAGTCAAAATATTTTGTATTGAAAGTATTAAATACGCATTTCATATTATCTTTAAAAAATCTTAAAATACAGACACTGAATTATTTGCATGCAAATATAATAAAATACATAAGATTATATAAAGTACACTTGTTAAACATGTAATTACATGAATATCATTTAAAGTTTTATTAACATAATATTTCATTATTAGGTTGGCAATATGTACTTCTTACACGATGATGATCCAGTTATAAATCCGTTTTGTCCTTTTTTTGAATTTTCAAGTTCTTCACAGGTAGAGGCAGGATGTCAACACTTTCCTTTGTAAACCGATTATATCTATATAAAGCAATAGCAGTGACGAAGATCGAGCAGATTTTGCAAATAGAACCTGAATTTTAAAAATGCAAAATTCACGTGTCAATTTATTTAGAACAACAATGTTCATGACAAGAATGGCATTTGTTAAAGAAAAAGTAAATCTACTTTATCTCTAAAGGTATACATGCCTCAGTTGTAGACTGTAAATAAATAAACGCTATAAACTTATAAACTCTATCAAGTTCTTTATACATTTAAAAACATGTAGAAAATATTTTAAATTTATTAAATATATAGCTACCTCAAAATGCAAAGAATATTATTACTGTGTTAATTCTGAAACATAAACTAAATTCTTATTTTCAAATTTGAAGTATCAATAGGAACGGGAACCTGCTTGCATCATTTCGCTCGATCATTTCATCTACTTTTTTTGAAATAATAATTATTTTTTTCAAATGTGAACAAAATATTAGAAAAATATCCATTCATTATGTTTGAGGGTTTTTATTTTTTTAACTTTCGTATTTCAAGTGTCAGAAAGGTGACACATTACAAGTATTATATACAAGTACTTGAGTTTTGGAAGCAAATGTAGAAAAATGTTTGAGAGCAACAATTTCAATGATCTGACATACAGATTTCAAAAGATAAAGCAGAAAATATATTAATGTACCCATGCTGTGTACTGTATAATGACACAGTATTTCATACATTTTAAGGGAAGGTGTTCGATTTTAAATGATAATTATGTCTGATATACTTGTAACATTATAATGAGACTGTAAAAAGTACTCCATGGGAAGTTTGAATCAGAATCACCTGACGTTTTTAGCACGGTTACAAATTCTGAGGACCTGACTAAAAATTCCAGGGGTTGGAGGGCATCAGCAAGAGGACCAAATAGGACTTGCCAACACTCATCCCCTTACCATCCATTCACAAATGAAGTACCTTCATGAGATCTAAGGGAAGGAGGTGAGAGATTACAGCATCTGGTGTAGTTCAGAAATTTAAAAAAAGGGACCAGCAGTTGGCCTAATGGCTACATGGTTGAACTCCCATCTAGTCAACCGTGGTTCGAGTCCCAGACCCAGTGGCTTAAACGCTGGGCACGTGTGCTTGCATACCCAAGAACCCAAGAGGAGAATGGCAGAGAAGGGATTGTGGAGTGGTCATCTCCCCTGGGGAGTGATTTCTTGCTTTCTGTCTCTCTGTCTTGCTCTGTCTTTCTGGTGCATGCACATGCCCTATAGCAAAAACATCTCCAAAAAAAAAAAAAAAAAGAAAACATGTTGATCAAGACAGGAGCAAGCTCTACCTACCTTCAAAGGAGGCAGCTCAATAAAATAATTTCTCCTTGTTCTTCATTTAAAATCATTAAAAAATCATTAAAGGGACCAGTAGTTGGCATAACGGCTATGTCACTGGACTCCTATGTAGTCGACCATGGTTTGAGTCCTGGACCCGGTGGCTTAAACTCACACCAGGCGTGTGTGTGCATGCCCAAGATCCCGAGAGGAGAATGGAGGAGAAGGGATTGCAGCGTGGCCATTCCCCCCTCGGAGGTGATTTCTCACTTTCTGTCTCTCTGTCTCTCTCTAACTTTCTGGTGAGGGCACATGCCCTATAGCAATAAAACCTCTCCAGAAAAAAAAAAGAAAGAAACACTTCGAACAGGATGAGGAGTATAGGCTTTGAAATCTACTACCATAAATCTTTTAGTTTTATTTCTTCTTCAAGATTCTCTTTGGACCAGCAGATGGCATAATGGTTATGTCACTGGACTCCCACATAGTAGACCACAGTTTGAGTCCTGGACCCAGCAGCTTAAAACTCAAGCAGGCTACATATGCTTGAGTGCCCAAAATCCCAAGAGTAAACTGGAGGAGAGAGGACTGTGGTATGGCCATCCTGTCTGGGGAGGTGATTTCTTGCTTTCAGTCTCTCTGTCTCTCCAGTGAGTGCAAGTGCCCTATAGCAAAAATCTCTCTCTCAAAAAAATAAAACAAACAAAAAGATACTCTTATATTAAACAACAGTAGCAGTTTTGGACTGTGAATTTTAAATCATTATAATTAGCCCCAAACACATCTTTATTAATCAAAATAGGAACCATTACAATCAACACTTTTTTTTTTCCAATGAGAAATAAATTTGCTTATTCCTGAGTGTAAAAATCTCTGCTTCGGGATTAGGCAAACTCTTGGAAAGCATCTTTTGCATTCTGCTGGTTGTGGAAGCATTTTCCCTGCAAAAAGTTGTCAGAATGTTTGAAGAAGTGGTAGTCAGTTTTAAAGAGGTCAGAACACTATGACAATGAGACAATATTCCATTGCCCAATTCATTCAACTTTTTTTTAATTTCAATTTATTTATTTGCATTCATTCACTGTACATCATTACAGCATACAAAATGAGATTTTCCATCCAGAGTACACTGTATATTGTCTCAATCAAGCACATCAACAAACATGTTATTGTCAACAAATAATTTTCCATTTCTTGTTTTCTGTATGTTTTGCCTTTTTTCCCCCCCATCCTTGATTCCCTATCTCTTACCCTCTGCCATCTCCCACTCTCCTCCCACACTGTCTCTGGTATCTATGTTTGCTTTCTATGCTGTTTCCCCCCCCACATTTTATTGAATTACTAAAGACCTTAATTAATCTAAATATTTTCATAGCAAACACAGGTGATATATACATTTCCATGAACTCAAGTCTAACTTTATGCATCCTATAAAGTAGCACCTAGCTGGGGCTATATATCTTACTGCAGTCATTGAATAGATCTTTTTTTCTGAAGCTTTTTTTTTAACTTAATTTACATTCTTTTCCTAAGCATCATCACAGCATACCAAATGTGATTTCCCATCCAGAATATACTGCATAGTGGCTTAATCGTGCATATTATTATCAAAGAATTATTTTTACCCCTCTTTCTGACCCTCTGTCCTTTCCCACCCTCTTCTCACACTATCTCTGGTGTCTACAATTGTCCTCTATTCCTTTCCCAGCCTCATTGTATTGATACACAATTTCCTACATAACCTAACTACTTTCAATGGTGAGTTCACTCGTTACTATTAAGAAAACCAGTTTTAACTTAAATCAAAGAAACGCCAAGGAACTTTGCTTAAAGCCAGGAAACAGGTTAGGATTCTGTTCA